CCGTCTGCTGAGGGATACGCGGCCGCTGGGGCCGTTCTCAGCCGGCAGCATTCGAAGACGTTCACTATCCGCACTCCGAATGCTGTAGGAGTGTCGCAACAAACATCTAGCGATACTTTTCAGATGGAGATCGTTTTCGGAAATGAATTTCATGGATTCATAATAATAATAATAGTAATAATAATTATTATTATTATTATAATAAACAAATTGTGATTGAATACTAAAATCATTGTCTGCCCCAGCTGGAAACCAAACATCACCCGGTGCCCGCCCAGTTGCTCTAAGTGATTAACAACTGTTAATAATAATTATAATAAAAACAATAGTAATAATTTGTTTTTATTATTGTAATGCGATCGTTTTTATTATTGTAATGCGTTGCGACCATGTTTTTATTATTGTAATCGATGTAATCGATCAAATGTCACAATCTCTTAAAATCGAACATATTTGTTTGAAACCTATGTGACTTATTTCCATTTTCGTTTGTTCTAGTTCCACACTCAAGCCTTCAGTGCGTCGCCTCTGCTGCTTTACTTGCCTTTTCCACAGAGAAGGTAAGATAATGGTATTTTACAATAACTTTTAATAACATTAAGTTTATTGTGTAAATGAACGCGTAATACAGTTTAGAATTGAGGAACAAATCATTTCTCTGCATGACCAGGTAGTCTTGACGTAACAGCTAACGTATTCTGTCATATAAATTATCGCATATCATGAAAAATGAGTGTTTATATTAAATCCCATTAAAAATACCACTTATTAATGTGACATGAGTAACGGGAGGGTAAGTTGAAAATGTAAAGAAAGACAGACATAAAAAATGCATCTTCTGATTTACACTCTCTTAATCTCAAAGAAAAGTATAGTAGAATCTAGAAAGTGACTACGAAGATTACTCCAAGTAACTGGACCATCGTTTTTTTGCGACAAAACGAAGTGTAGCTCTTTGCCGCGTAGCTTTACCAAAAGACAAAACTCTTTTATTTCAGTCAAATGGAATAGGAACACGGAGTGGTGCTTTCGTGACGGATGGTTCGCACATCGAAAGAAATGGATTTGTTGTGCTCTCAGTCTTTTAACTTAATTGAATGAATACACACTCCCTTCTCCTATCGCAAAGAAAAATAAAGCATTTGGCATTGCGCACATCAATATCTTTCCATTTGCTGTCCTCTATTCGTGAACACTACACGCCGCTGACAACTAATACACGTCTCAAAAGGCAGATCCACTATTCACAATACACAGGAACCCAAACATGAACGCATCTGAGCGCGCGTGATGTATGAAGAAAAATGAGCATCGTCCCGCAAATGGCGAGGGCTGAGGTGCGGAGACAAATGTGCGCTATTCAAGGAGCATACCCAGCTTCTTATCAATGACAACGGCAACGATGTGAAAAAAACACCATTGTTCAGAAAGATGTATTTTGTTGGCGGTTTGTGGCTTGTACTACTGCTGTCGCGCATTCCACTTTCGTTGCTGACGCCTGTCTCTATCTGCGTGACGTCACCTCGGACCCCTATCTCCAATACAATTCTTCTCATCGATTTATTCCACAGCCAGCCCTGCTCTAACTTATTCTCTCACTTTTCATCGCCACCAATCAATATCACATATCGCCCGAAAGGTTGCACATTTTTTTAAAGCTTGCCTCACTTATTCTGGGCTTATCCGTAGCCACCATTTTGAAATATATTGCCTCTTCGTTTGTTTGTTTTTTATATTCATTCTCCAGAGCTCGCATTTTTTCCTGTGTTTTGCTCCCTAGGAAGGATTCTTCATCATCAAAATAGTTCATCTATCAGTAGCGCTCCCATAAAAAACAATGGTGATTTTATAATAGTGACATGCGATAATTTATATGACACAATATGTAAGCTGTTACGTTAAGACCGCCTGGTCACGTGTCCAACTCAAGTAATAAAGAGTTGCTTTATTTCACTACAAACGTCTCACGAACTTATTACCACAAGATTAGTTTATTCTAAAACGGAAGAAAGATTAAATGATCTACAATATTTGTTTTGAAATTAAAATGTTTAATTGAAGGAAAATTGTGTACACTGCGTGTACAATAGGATTCGGGATTTCTTAGGATGAATACACAACGAACAATAGGGCTTATTAACAAGAACGGGCTAACGAAATATGTATGCATTTCTGCAGGAAAACATTTAGTGTAAAAAGTAAGCACTAAAATACGTTCATTAAGAATATTAAACCACTCATAACACCGTTTCTTAGATTTTTTCTAATTGTACATTTACCCGGAACTTAATGGCCTGTGGTTGATGTGCCCGGAAACAAATCAATCTCAGTTGAGTTAAGTCTTAAATATTTTTAAAGGAGAAAAGAATTGGATACATTTCTAACTTCAACTTTCCTTCCTAAATAAATGATCACAAGAACAGGGACCCGACTAGAAATGAAATTAGGAGTATTATCTTTTTCGGGCAACTGCTGCGGGACATTCCAACAATTCTCTCCCGAAAAAATATTTGGTCGATTACAACGGACGGGTCCACCCCGTATGAACAACAAAATGTCATGTGTTTATTTTTTTTTTTTTTTTTTTTCATTCTGGTTTGTTCTCTCTCACCCTCGGCTCTCTCCCCCTTCCCTTCTTGCTTTTCTCTCCTCCTTTCACTCGTCTTCAATACTCTCGAATTTCCCATCCGAACGTCTCACTCCCCTCGTCCTCTCTCCAACGGCGGCCGCCCGCCAACCCTCCATCTCACCATCTTGATCGCATGGTTCGTGCGGGGTTCGGCCGCCGGGGATAACAGGGCGCGTTGGAAGCCAGCGATGGCAGCCGCTCCATTACGCGGAGTGCGGACCCCGCCCCCTCCACGCCGCGCCGATTAATCCCAGATTTCGGCGCAACAACCCCCGCGCGCCGCCAGCCGCCGAGCCCCGGCGCCGCCCCGAGCGCCCTGGGCCAGGGCTTCGACTTGCACGCGTCGCTCCGCGTCGCCTCGAGCCGTCTTCTCCGCGCTCCTTGGGCAATTTTCCGGCTCTTGAAAGCGAGGACGTGTCATCAGTTGGATGGCGTTCGGAGGTCATTTAGGTATTGGCACTCGGGGGGCACTCTAATAGGAGCACGCATTGACACGTTCTGTTCGGACACTCTGCTTGATCATGCGTTTGGAACACTGCTGGATCACACTGTTGGAACACGCGGTTGGATCACACTGTTGGAGCACTCTGCTGAAACACACTGTTAGAACACGCTACTGGATCCCACTGTTGGAATATTCTGCTGGATCACACAGTTGGAACACTGCTGGATCCCATCACTGGAACACTCTACTGAATCTCTCTTTAGGATCTATCCGCGGAGACTATTAGTTAAGAATTCTCCTAATTCTTCAATATGTTTTCACTGAATAATCCAAGGAATCATTTAAGTTACTTTCATATTCAATTAACTCCATTCATTCTTATCCCTCCTTCGGAGTCGCGAAGTTCCTCTATACACAGATTATAATAAAATGAATAGTCTTGTACTACATTACAGAATACGTTGCTTCTTTACGTTTTTCTTGGTCGTCATCCTGATAATGCCCCTTTATAATTCATTACTTTTTGTTTTCTCCAATTTCATCAAACATTCTATGAGTATTAATAAATTCTGATTTTCCTTTCGTACTGTGATTGGTCTCAACTACATCATTTTTTCCACGTCATGTTTATCTTCTCCAGCACCTAATTTAATGCTATGTTAAGCACAATGTTCATTTTTCGCCACGAGTAATTATTACTGCGTTGCTATCTGTAATTTGTTCGACTAAAAGCTAATTTATTATTTAAAAAGTATTTTGAATAAAGTGTGGTATCTGCTCTTTTTTAAGGTTATTTGGCCACAAGAAACAAACAGAAAACATTTTAAGAGATATTTACCGCATATATTTACCAACCAATAGCAATGTATCGAATACTTAAATAAGTTGAGAATGAATTAACTTCAAGGTTTCTCATTTTGAGCCAAGTTACTAATACATTTTTTTGTGCTTAGCTCGACAGCCTAACAAGCTAATATCTCTGTGTTCTAGCACGCCTCGCTCCCAAATGACAGATATAACCCACCGTATAATAGCGAGTTGCATCCCAATTCCATTCTTTACAACCAAGTGCTCCTATACAGCACTAAAATACTGAGCATCATATTTAAAAGCAAAATACGCGGCATGAAAAATTTGACTGCAGCACTAATAGGTTCAGAATAGCAAAAGTTTACACGCAGGTTTATTGCTTTTGGTTTTAACTACTTCAAAAATACATTGACATATGAAACCGAAAATATATTGAATGTTAGATAATGATACACGTATTTTACAAAAAGTATTCGGTATTTTTCTTTTCTATTCAAATTTCAACCACAATCAATATGAATACCACGTTACTCTTTACGCACTAAATGTCACACACAATCGTACACGAAAACCATGACGCACTTCGCAATTAGTTTTCTGTTATATTCCAAAAAATAATTTTTGCTCTCCATTTTCTGTTATATGACGTTGAGTCCCTACGGGGCGAATACTTTAAAGAACGAACGCGCGTATTAAAGTTAATACTCAAGCAAATTACAGCCACGAATTAGTAAAAAAAACAAGAGTAGAACGGGAAATGCCATTGAGGCGCTTCAGCCAGGCTTGTTACGTAGCACTAATCGAAGGTGCTTAGAGCCCCGTGGTATCTCCTCCAACCACCCCGTCTCCCGCATGCCGCTCATCAATATACGGCAGTGGTGAGCCGTCGAAAGCCGAGCTGTCAGTGGCGTTCTTGCGTTAATGCGGGCCCGCAACCCACGAGCGGGTATTATCACGCCGCGCTCGAGCACCTCGCGGCCCGCCGCCCACACGCACACACACAAACACACGCGCCACCGCCCCTGCCCCTGCTAGCGCATGTCCGCGTGTGCTCGCCCCCACCCACTCATATCCACTCTCGCCCGATCATGCTCTCTCCCTCCCATTCGTTTACTTTCGCTCCCTCCCGATCACGCTCCCTCCCTCCCGCACTACTACGCTTTCTTCATTCCGACCGATCACTCTCGCTCCCTCCCACTTGATCACTTTGGCTACCTTCCGCCTGATCACTCTCGTTCCCACCCGATCACTCTTGCTTGCTCCCTCCCGCTCGATCACGCTCGTTCCCTCCTGCCCGATCTCTCGCTCCCTCCCATTCGTTCACTCTCGCTCCCTCCCGCTCGATCACACTCGCGCCCGCCCGATCACGCTCTCTCATGCTCGCACGATCACTTTCACTCCCTTTCACCCGATAACTCTGGCTCCCTCCCGCCCGATCACACTCGCTCCCTCGCTGGACGAAAGATGGGAAGGATGTTACGGGGCGGAGTCGGCAGGGCAATGAAGTGGTGGCGGTGGTAGAAGCGGCAATGGCAAATTTGTGGGCGGCGGATGTGTGAGGACCGGCGACATGGGTGACTGATGGGCTGAGGGAAGCGGCGACGGCGAGGCGTTGGTGAGACCGGGGGCGACGGATGAGCGGTAACTACTTCGCTGCCCATGAGACGCCCCATCCTAAGCACAGCTGCCAACGTTTCGGCCGCCATTCTATAATCTTCTTCAAAGCGACCTTCTTCAGGGCAAAAAATCCCCCCCCCGGGGAAGATCGCGGAATGGTAACCGAAACGTCACCCATGCCTGGGACGCGGCGTCTCCCGGGCAGCCACGTAGTTACCGAAGAAGCCTACAATCTCGACGGAGGGGCGTGGTCGGGAGCGGCGAAGACGAGGGCCACGGCGGTGCGCTCGTGTGCACGATGACAGCAGCGGAGGCGGAGGCGGCAGATGAGCAGGGCCGCAGAAGCGGGGGTGGCGGCGACGGGAGCGCATCCGTCACTCGGCGTCGACACAATGCGGGAGCGGCGCTCGTCAGCGCGCTGCCGCCGGCGCGGCGTGGGGCGGGTGGCGGAGGCCGGGGCAACTGGGCGCCGCCGACGTGGAGACATGTGTGGGTGGCGGGGACGGGAGGCGGGCAACAGAGGCGGGATAATGCTGATTCTTGGGAACGTTTCGCCTCACCGATTTGAAATTGAAATAGAAATTCCAAAACGTTCTCTTAGCTCTACAATCAGTCGTATCTCGAAAATGTCGAATCATTTCTATAATACTGAAATATTCGCGTCTGATGTTACATAATAACCCATCCAATACATTACATTGATACAGAAATATATTTAGGGTTACGTCACAAATAAAACGAAATTGTTGATCTAATTGTTTAGGATCTTGAAAATTCAATAAACGTTTTTCACTGCAATTTACCTATTATTTCTGTAAATGCTGCTTTCTGGTAAAATAGGACTACGGAAATTGTATTATGCACATTTCACAAATAGAAAGCGTGCGGCCGAGCCAATGGACCAGATCGCTAAGGCAGTAGTGTCGTGGCAGTCTTGGGCTACAAGATCGCGAGTTCGAGTCCCGCCACCAGCGTAGTTAGTGTTGTGTGTGTCTCTGTATGTTTGTGTGTATCTATTTCATCATTCACCATCACCCCAATTTCTCCCCATTCCCCAGGGCTAACTACCCTGGGGTGTAATACGGAATCGGCGTTAAAATGCTGATCCCCTCCCCCCAATAGAAAGTTACGTGCACCCTTCAATACTGAGCCCCGGTGAGATTCACGTATCGCGAAACAACAACAACAACAACAACAACAACAAAAACAATAATAATAATAATAATAATAATAATAATAATAATAATAATAATAATAATAATAATATAAAAATAAAATAATAAAAGTATAGAATTCCATTGAAAAAACTTTTCTACTAAGAATAACATGTTGCCATGAGAGATCTTAGGATCTCGATTTCATGATAATACTCTTAGAAGTTACGGGTACGGCAGATCGGATGTAACAAAGGCGAAAGAAACTTTGTCATCAGTGTTGATGTATAGTAGTATTTCAGTTGACTCCACAGCATTGCTCACCAATGAGTCTAGGGCAAACGTGAGGCACGAAAGGGAGCGATATTATAGTAAAGTGACACTGACAGCGATGCCGACGATACTACGGCGAGGAGGGGGTGGCGGAAGCAAAGGAGGAGTGGTCCCTGTGGCAGCTCTGGGAGGGGGAGGTTGATAATGGAGGGGAGGGGAGGGCGATTGTGTTTGAGACGAACGGGGCGTAGTTGATTGCGTTATTGACGGAGAGCAATGACGCTGCACAGGTGAAGCCGTTCTCAGCGATGACGGAAGAGAGAGCTGGCATGCACCGCGCATCACATTATTACACTCTCGACAACTCATCTACTCTACCTCCGCTGCTATTCGTGGTTCTACGTCGTTTTAATATACCGTGTAAACACATTCGATCTTGGATCTACTGAAAAGTCCTGTATTCTAACCGCCCAATTCTGTCCCCATTTATTCCAATCAACAAGTATTCAGCTACAAAAATGTCATCAGAATATTGCTGGCATTGTCAAAAGCACATAGTGAAATTGTGTGCACTTGGTAATGGTAAACAGGTCAACATTAGGGCTGTATTGGGCTAAAATCGGTTTGGGTTTAATCCTCCGAAACCTTCAGTCTTTTTTTAGTGACCAATGAATAACATGGGCGTTTGAGAACAATAAGTATACATTTTATAATTTGTAGTCTACGCGCTTTTTATGCTGCAAGTTATGGACGTTTCAATGCGTATATTGTGGCTACAGCTCTCTCTATATAATAAAACAACATTGACGTTTCATGTGTGCTCTTTTCTCTCGACGCGGTAAGTAAAATTTATCAGCTGGTGACACCCCTTTGATGGGCCTGACGCTGCCTGCGGCGTCGGTTCGGGCGAGCGGGAACAAACGGCTTCCCCCTACCCCTACCCCTCGGTGCCGGGGTGGGGGTGGGGGGCGGGTGAGAGGCCGGGGGCGTGTGCGCGGAGACGAGACCGCCGCCAGTGACGCGCGTTTAGCGGGCGGGGGCGTAGAGG